CGATGATGTCGTCTCGCTGGCAGGGGCAGCCGCCGACGGAGCAACCGTGGCGTTTCCTCGGCCATCTTCGGCAGAAAGCGATGCATTGCACCGCTGCGGGGGCAACGAGAGCACACGAGTATCGCACGTCCCCGAGTGAAAGAGCGCCCATTCCTCGGCCGTTGCTGTGTAGATCCCAAAGGCAATTGGTGCGCCATCAAAGTCGGTGCGGGCAAGGGCGCGCTCGCGGAGCAACAGCTGCATGCACGCCATCTGACGCGGACAAGTGTGCTGCCAGACCGTGGCCATCTGTCGGTCGGCAATGGTATGCACCAACGCGTCGGGTGCACTGTACTGCGGGTAGAGGTGCTCGTCGTCGAAGCGGCTCGCCGCGAGGCCAAACACACTCAGGCTGAGGTTTGCGCCGCTATCTCTCCAATGGCACTCCCTCGCGTGAGTGAACCCTCCGTCCTGCAGTCCGAGCCGCTGCCAATCGCAGCGGACGGCCTGATAGAACGGCGTGTGCCGCGCCTGCGGCACGTTGAGCACCAGAGACGGCGGAAATACCGTCGAAACCAGCTGCCACCCCGTCCGGTGCTTGACTGAAGTGGAGAAGCCGAGCTCCAGCCAGAGCGCCTCGCGCCAGGGCGAATTCACGAGGTCGTCCGCGCTATCACGGGCGTCTCCGGCGCTCATGCCTGGTAGCGTGCGCTTTTCAAGCAGCGGCAGGAGTGATCGACCGTCCAGTGGCCCCCCTGCGTTGGCCGGGACGCCCCGCGACAAAAGGCCCGCCGCGTCGAGAACAGTCGGCACAAGGTCGAGGCTCGAGACGAGGGTGTGTGCGGCGAACGTCTGGCCTGGCGCGATGCGCGCGGGCCACTGCAGCATCATCGGAGTGCGCACGCCGTGGTAGAGCGCGCCCTTCCCGTATCGCTGGTGGTCGGAGAGGGCGATGAGCAGTGTGTCTTGCTCGAGTTGCAGCGACCGCAGCTCGGCCAAGACGGCTCCCACCTGCGCGTCCATCCAAGCGGTGTGCGGCGCATCGTACTCCTCCCAACCGCACGGCTGACTCCCTGCAAGCGCGAGCAGCGACGACCGGGGAGGCATCCGATGCGAAGGGCTGTCGGGCGGCGCCGAGAGCAGCCCGCCCTCGCATAGCCGCTCATCGGCGCACAGGCCACCGTACGCTCCCGGCGCGTGCGTCAGAGTGGTGCAGAAGTGCAGGTAGAAGCCCGCGGCGGCACGGGAGGTGAGGTGAGACGATGCGGTCTGCAGGAAGCGGAGCGCTGCCTCCGCCTCCCACTCGGCGTTGTGCACGCCGAGGCCGAGGTGCTGCGAGTCGATGACGTTGCCCGACTCGACCGCACCGCTGAAGTTGAAGCCCGCCTCGCGCACCGCTGCTTCGAGCTCGATGACGGTGGCGCCGTAGCCCGCGGAGAGAGCATCATTCGCAGCGACAGCTTCGGGCGTCATCTCCTCTCCCGTCACGAATCGGCCGTGCTCCCCTCGCATGAACTCCTCCATGCTGTGCGGGCGGCGCGCCAGGTGGAACTTGCCCACAAACCCAGTGAAGTAACCGCTGCGCTGCAGCAGGCTGCCGAGCGTGCCGGACGCGCGCGTGCACCCTGCACCGCTTGGCGCCGGACATGGGTACCCTCCAGACCAGCGCAGGTAGGTGTTCCAGGAGACGTCGCCAAACCGTCCCCGTGCCGTGGCTGCATTGAATGGCGCCGAGGAGGGAAGCCGGCCCGTCAGGATGGCGTAGCGCGAGGGCGTGCAGACGGACGCAGGAACGTGAGCACCCAGAAATACCGCGCCGCTCGGGCCAAGGCTGCTCAGGTTGGGCGTGTCATACGAGCAGTTGGACATCCCAGTAGAGCACGGCCGACGCGAGCGCAGCTCAGCGAGCTGTGCTGCAGCCCCGGCGTCCTGCTCCGCAAAGAGCGGGACACGCTCCAGGTCGACGTCGTCCATGACGTAGATCAACACGTTGGGGACGGACGGATTTGCCTCCTCCTCCTCCTCCTCCGACATGATGCGGGCCAGAGTCGAGCCGCGGCGGGCACCGCGGCGCCCAACCAAGAGATTGGATCAGACGGACGTTGCCAATCGTCCACCATTCTAGCCCGCCCTCAGCTGCTCTCCTGGCAGCCCCGGTGAGTTTATCAAGCATATCGAGCATATATCGAGCATACCGCGTCCATATGCTCGGCGAGAAGCACCCAAGGCCGGGCACTTGGAAATGGTCTGCATCGTCCTCGAGCTTTGCAGAGATGCGCTCGAGCTTTGCAGAGACGCGCTCGTCAGCTGTGCGGGCTCCTCAGGCAACCTTTCGTGTTGGCTATGTGGAAGTCCCTTTGGGCATCGCCGGGAACCACAGAGGCATCGAGGGCTTGACATTTGCAAGCGCGTGGAT